CACAAAGGGTCTTAATTACCCGCGGCCGAGCCTCATGCATAGGGATGCGCCGCTGGCGAGCCGCTGGTTATGGCCGCGCTCTGCAGCCCGGCCGGCGTCCGATCGGGAACGACGGGCGGCACGCACGGGGACGGCCGGCACCTGCACGCCAACGGCGGGGGCAATCTGAAAACCATCGGGTGCGCCCTTTCGCACGGCACGGCGACCCTCCATGCAGCCACCTGCGCTCCGCCTCCCTCTGCTCCACAAACACACATCTCACTACGCTTCCCGATCCCGCCGCCACGGCTTGCACCCACCACGGACACATTATATCAACGACGTCCGTTACACTCGTCTTGAAAAAAGAAGGCCAATCCCATTCCTCCCGCGTAAAAATTTGAATCCAATCGTGACACTAATCTTTGATGCTGACGAATGGTCCGGTCGCCCCTCCGCCGCCCCGCCGAGCCATAGGAGAGGCAACCTTCCTTATTCGTATCGCGCGCGCCAGCAGCAAGGGCCGTGGACAAGTGCCCCGGGGGAGGGGGGAGTTTATCGGAATAAAACACATCGTAACATGGAGGCGATGGAGGGCACGCGACGCTCCCCTACGACCCCCTCCCTCCTTTCCCTTTTCCTCCAATTTTCCCTCTTCTTTTTTCATCCATCCTGATTCCACACTCACCCCCATCGTCCCCTCCGCCCCGAGCCGCACCGCCTGACCCCCTGGCGAGCTTCTGATTGGAGCGCTGACCCATGGACGCTGCAGTAGAAAGCCGAAAGATAAATGGCAGTTTGTCGCCCAGTTTCGTGAACTCCACGCGGCCGGCCGCAAAGTATTCCCGACGACTGGAACACGGAACGGAGCTCCGCGCCAGCGACGCGTGGCGTGGCGTGGCGTGGCGGGGCGTGGCGTGGCGGGGTGTGGCACTGCGGGGCGGGGGCGCGGATGGCACGCGCCGGACTCACTGCGGGAGGTAATTACGCTGCGTTCGATACGTGTGCCAGGTCCCAACGAGGCCAGCGGCCGCTAACGTCTTAATGCGAACGGCCAGCGCCGCAGAAAACAAGACGCGCATTCTCCTCAACGTTACCATCGCGTGGCCGCGAGACACGGCGCCTTTTAGTCTAGATGTCACCCGCCGCCGACCCGCAGCGCAGCGCAGCACATTCAGCGCACATAAAGGAGCCCGCACGAACGCAGGGCCTGTTGAGTCCCCGAACCGACCAAACCACAGCAGGGGTCCGCGAGCACTAGAGTTCTCATTGGGGCTGACGCTGGACCCCTAACACGTGTCCGAAAACGACACATGAGTGCGAGCGAGATGGGAGTATGCTGATCCGGATCGAGCGTCTCGCTTCCACGACATGTCGTTTTCAGGCGGGTTTCCGGGGAGGCCGTGTGGGTGAACGTTACCCGCGCGCGGTTACCCCGAATCGAAAACTATTGGGGCGGCTAAGCCCAGGCTAACCTCACTAGCGGACCGCAGCCAGCAGCGCCGCGCCAGGCCACCACACCCGCGGTGCTACGAATGCGAATACGAGTACGTACTACGCGGCAGCCTCTCTTTGGGCGGGTGCCGCCCCGCCGCCTGCCTGCTTGCGCCGCCGGTCCGGCC